TTTGAGAGTGGTTACATTTCTCCAGGCCTATCCCTCAGCTTTTTAACGAAACAGGGGTGGGGAAAATGCTTTGTTATTGTTTCAACTGCTGATTGTCGCTTTAAACTGGGCATTAATAGCACGTATTAAACTAAACGTTTACACTCTCTAATGGGTTGGCTAATGAGGCTTTTGTAAACTTGAAATGTGTGAACTTGTTCAAATCTCTTATTAGTGCTTTTGCTCAAGTGCAGTGTGTGACACACTTTGCTCAGTGTCCAGATCATGTCACATGGTATAAAACAAAGGACATGGTGCCCAATCTGGCCATTGCTAATTTCTCCCACAGTTTGTGTTTAGCCTATCATAGCGCACTGAAACTCAGAGAAATACACAACATGTGACGACTACTAGGACTCAGAGCAATGTGCCTGCAAGATCATCAGGGTTTACTCGAACATTCATTTATCTGGTTCATCTTTCATCCGAGGATAATGATGTGTATTGCCATTGTATGAGGTTAAAGATCTGCTTTGATCGGACAACTAGACGTTTGATGCAGTTAAAATGCTTGATCCCTGTCGGTCTCCTTTCATTAATTTGAGAATGCGCGTCAACGTATATGAACATAGGGCAGAGGAGTGTGTGTGTATACCTACCTAGGGATGATGAAGGGCAGATGATGAAGAGGAGAGTAGGAATGTGACATTCTAGGATGCTTCTCTTCTAACATGTGCGTGTCCGTGAGTGACTGGTGCATGCCTAGACTACAGAACACACTGTAACATGTTAATTATATGGTGCATATGGGCATCAGTGGAGGCTGCTGAGGGGAGGACGGCTCATAATAAATGGCTGGAACAGAGTAAATGGAATGGCATCAAGCACATGGAAACACATGATACCATTCCACCAATTCCGCTCCAGCCATTACCACGAGCCCGTCCTCCCCAATTAAGGTGCCACCAACCTCCTGTGATGGGCACATGCCTACACTTTACAGCTGCACGGGGCTCTGCACGGGAATTGAAGTTATGCTTATCTCCTCCGAATATTAAGCAGATGGGTTGGCGCAATCGGCACATTATACTCCACTTAATTTCCCAGGCAGCCGAGTCGTTTTCAGCGAAGTCCCAGGCCACGTGTCTCTGCATCCTGTCAGCTTTAAGCACATTAGACTATCTGGTAATGTGCTTCATCCTTCTAGCTATGATAAATCCAGCCCAGTCTCGACGCCATATGGTTATTACTGATTGTGGCAGTATGTGCAGTGTGTTTGAGATTGCAATGTGTGTTTGAGAGAGTGCAACTGTGTATGTGTATAACGTTAGTGGAGCCCCACCAGAGGGATTCTATGATACTGCAGACACACCACTCCCAACTCTGTAAATACAAGGAAAGAATGCAAGTTGCAACCTCTATGGCAGGGGTGTCAAACTCATTCCATGGACAGCCTAGTGTGTGCAGGTTTTTGGTTTTTCCCTTTCAATTAAGCCCTAGACAACCAGGTGTGGGGAGTTCCTTACTAATTAGTGACCTTAATTCATCAATCAAGTACAAGGGAGGAGCAAAAACCCGCAGCCACTCGGCCCTCTGTGAAATGAGTTTGGCGCCTGTGCTCTATGGTATTCAAATATGCTTTCACGCTAATTCACGTTTCCATTCACGAGGAACACTTTGGTGTTAAGAATGAACTAAAATTCAGGTGAGAGGACTAGACTTGAATGCAACACTTTAACTAGTTGCCTTGTACGCAGCTCCCTAGCAACTCAACAAGCACCAGCTGCTACTAATTGCCAATCACCCTCCACGCCAGTTTGCAACACTTTAACTAGTTGTCTTGTACGCAGCTCCCTAGCAACTCAACAAGCATCAGCTGCAGCTAATTGCTAATCAGCCTCCACACCTGTCCGCACTCTCCTTAATCACCACTGCCTCCCTACCTAAACCTGACCAAACTAACATTCCTCCTCTTTGCTCTGCAGTGCATGTCAAGTTACTAGCCTTATCAAGTTGTGCATCCCATCTCCACCTTCTATCTAGTATCTCTTAGGTTCTTCCACGGATATCCATTTAAGTGCATGCCGCCACCTACTGTGCTGGAATGTACGATCAATCATGATCTGCCCAATTCTGTACTACCATGAAAATAAATTTCAAAACCAAATAAATCCCTAACTTCTACCACACCCTCCCCCCAAAACCCCTCCCCCATTAAACTTTATATCATGCTGAAACACTCCACCCTTAGGATTGTTCAGCATTTCAACAACCATTTCAACAGTAACATCTGTTAACCCCAATATCTCTTTTGCCGTCTCCACAATAACCTTCAACCTAGCATTTCTGCTTTCCACAACCCGAGACGTATTGACAACCTTATGAAGTCAACTTTATTCATTATCAAAGTGTCCTTTGACACCGCACATTCATGAGCACAATATTTCTGAACAGGCCTTGAAACCATGCCAGGACCATCAGAAGCACCAGCCCCGACAGTAGGTCCACTTACTACAGGTACATCCATGTAAGCTCCATCAGTCCACACTGCAGTTCTACCAATCTGTTTTACGGCCTCTGCATATGATACATCATGACTGATCCTATATCTCTGAGCCTCTCTCTGTACCTGGCATCCACCGAATCCTGCACTGCATTCTCCGCCACAATTACAGCACTTAACCTTCACATTGCTTTCACATTCACTGTAATCATGTGCCCCTCCACACTTGGCACATCTTTTCTTTCCTTTACACTGAATGCCATTCTTTGGCATTTAAAACACTGCAGTGCATATGGGACAAATTCTCTAACATTGAAACTAAGGAATCCTATTTGTACTTTTGATCGCTTCTTCTTCTTCTTCTTCTTCTTCTGTGGGTTTAATGGCGGACTACATCCAAAAGTTGTATTGCTGCCACCAACTGGACGGTTTGAAACCTAAAATAAAAATAAATCCATACTTAATAGTGATACTAACAATCCACCCTAATAAAAATAGTACATTGCCAAAACAAACAAAACTCCCACTTCTTCCTTCTTTTAGTTCTCCATGTCTCCCTTCTCAGGCTCTAGGACCTGAGAATTTGGTACGGCTTTTGCTAATATTCCATGTAACTCCTTTGCTGTGAAATCTTTCAGCCCCAAGAACTGCTTCGCCGCAATCACAATGATTTCTATCTTCCTAGACCTTTTCTCCACTTTGGCAGTGCCATTTATCACCATTGCGATAAAGGCCACAAAGTCCACCTTTTTAACCTTTAAAATGTCAGGATCCTCTTGGTTTAAGACAACCCCTGCAGCCTGCAGTGAAGGCCTATCCACTACCATGGACTCTTCTGGCGCAACAGTCAAACCCTCAACCCTTTTCACAGCTTCTGCATATGAAATACTCTGTACAACCCTGACTTTGACCACCTCATTTTCCTTTACACTTGTGGGGCATTCAGAATACATGGCTTCATGATTCCCACCGCAATTACAACATGTTAAATTTTTTAAAACTTTTATAACACTTAATATTATATTTTCGACATCTTGTACATCTCGGCTTCTCCCTTCTGCAAACACTTTCTTCATGACCAAAAGCTTTACAATGTTCACACTGCATTGGTCTTGGGATAAATGCTCTAACTCTGTAGTTCATATACCCTAACTGCACTTCATTAGGGAGAGACTCCATTTCAAAAAACAAAAGAACAGATAAACTCTTCACTTTTTCCCCATTTACCACTCGATTCATCCGACGTGCTTCAATCACTCCAGGAATATTTTGTATCTCTTCCAAATCAACTTCCCACGAAACGCCAGAGAGACACACACAACACTTCAAACGTATCAAATTGATTAAGACACAACGCACGTTCCTTCTGATCCGCAGAAACACAAATAATCAAAACATGGCCGCCTCTCGTGATCCTCACAGCCTTCACTTTACCCAGCACTCTCTCCACCAGTTTGGATAACTCAAATTGTTTCTTCAAGATTGGTCCTCTGCTCAGCTGCTCCCTATTAACAAACCGTACTCCTACTAGATACGAATGGTCATTCTCATCACTGTACCCTACTTTGCTCCGTTTTCCATTATTTTGAACAATACTCCAATGCTCCTTGATTCTACCGCCATTGTATTCAGATTCCACTTCATCATCTGCTTCCGCCATATTCCCATTTCCCTCAACTCCAGTACAGTATCTGGCCGATCTCAACCAACTGACAGGTGCATATACCACAACCTATCACTCTCACATCCATTCCATTTCCTCAATAAATATTCTAAACCCATTTCGATGTCTGGTCCTTAAACTTGTGAATTATCCATTTTCTTTTCACAGCAATTTGTATATTTGTTTCCAACCCAATGTATCTACAACTAATGTGCATTTATTCAGATGAAATTACAGGAAAAGCAAGACTCTTTCCATTCAAACTGTGGTCTAGTCTCAGGCAAACTATTGATGTAGCTAGCTTGAGCAAGGGTGTTGCATGATTGCATATGCATTAGAGAAAACACTCATATTTCAATACTAGCCTACTATCAGTTAAGTGACTGCATAATATGCTACGGTTCTGTCATCAACATGATTCAATTTTGACGAACAAGTGCGATAGGATATCCGGTTTGACCGGAAATCCTATATTTGGCGTTACTACTGAAAGATATGGCTGCATACATTGTATTAGCCTGCTAACTCGACGTTTACGTTTGACAGAAGCTTAATTCTTCGACCAACGTTTTGAAATTGTATGATAACAAGGAAGTTATATCGCTTCTGTCGACACAAAAAAATCCTTAACCATGCCAACAACGGCTTTCTGAGTTTTGTAAATCACGTTAGCTAGCAAGCTATACAAAGGATAAACCAGGTAGCCAGCTGCTAGCCTAGCTAGGTGGCTAGCTAGCTTAGCTCCTTACGAAGTGTTTACTGTTATTTTGTGACCAGCTAGATAAAAAAAACATAGCTGGATACATTTGCTGGTGTTACAAAGAAAAAGCGCCTATCGGGTAACTCCGAGCCTCAATGCCCGAACAAGGCCCAAGGATGAATGGTTTTTCCCTCGGCGAACTATGCTGGCTATTCTGTTGCCCACCCTGTCCCAGTCGCATCGCGTCTAAACTAGCCTTTCTCCCACCCGAACCCACGTACTCCGTGCACACCGATGCTAACGGGACGAGTAGCCTGCATCTAACCGAGCGAGCAGACTGGCAGTACTCCCAACGTGAACTGGACGCTGTCGAGGTGTTCAACACCAGAACCAGTCGGGGAAACCGTGTGGGGTGCATGTTCGTACGATGCGCACCCAACAGCCGGTACACGCTGCTCTTTTCCCACGGTAACGCAGTGGACTTAGGCCAAATGTGTAGTTTCTACATCGGCCTCGGTTCGAGGATAAACTGCAACGTCTTCTCGTATGATTATTCGGGCTACGGTGTCAGCAGCGGGAAACCGTCAGAAAAGAATCTGTATGCGGACATCGAGGCTGCCTGGCAGGTGCTAAGGAACAAGTGAGTATAGCCTATACAGCTAGTGTCAACAAGCTCACATGCACGCTACCTAGCTAGTTGGGTTTATTGTCTTGGGCTTTGTTATTTAGCTAACGTTTGCTAGCTCGTCTATTTTTGCTAGCTACTGTACTCCATTTCCATGACAACCACTATAACATGCCTACACAGCTGAGAGCAGAGCATTAGCTATTCATTTATATGGCTGAGAGGACTAGAGACGTTAGATAGGTGGTAGCTAGTTGCATAGTGATTTGGTACTTAGCACCTATTCAATTGATTTTGTGACATGCTACTCTGAACATATCCAGGAGCTTCCATGTTTAAACTTTGATCTGTGCAGGCAAGACAACTCATCTTGACACCCACATTGGAACTTTAAACAGTATGCCCCTTCTACTTAATCAGTTAAAACCTGCTGAATGAGTCCAAAAACGTGCTGTGATTTATTTAGATCTTCCAGAAATCATGAAAACAGGTTTGACTGTCTACTAGCTGTGTCTCCTCTGTATGCCGAGGACAGAGAGCTTTAGTTATAGGCTAGCCATAGCATATAATAAAATAAAAACAAATATGCCATTTAGCAGACGCTTTTATCCAAAGTGACTTACAGTCATGTGCGCATACATTTTTACATATGGGTGGTCCTGGGGATCGAACCCACTACACTGGCGTTACAAGCGCCATGCTCTACCAATTGAGCTACAGATGACACTAGCTTACTAGCCCAGCTATGAGATGCTTTTGTCAGGGCAGGATCCAAACAAGGACCGCCTGGTGTGCTGTGTCATCTTAGTAGTTAGCTTACTGGAAATGATGCAGTGTATTAGGCTACAGATGAACTTCATAGGGTGGTGAAAGTGCCGGTGATCAGATTGATGCTGCTTTCCAACAAATATCAAGGATCTTCTTCTAGGAACATGGTCGATGCTTGCCTGCCGTTTGACCAAAAACATTCTCGCTCTTAGTCTTATTCATAATCTCATCATGTAGACTAGCCTACCTGCGCAGTTTACCCGCACTATATCTGCCAACTGTTGGCTAGAGCGCACGTGCCAAGACCAGAGTAGGCACATTTGCAATTTAAGTCAACAGTATTCGTGACAACTATCAGTAGAGTTGAAAATACGATGGAAACACATTGAACTTTATCTTTAAAAAAATGGGTACATGAAAACTAAAGCAAAAAACTACATCATCACACACTGATATTTATCAGCAAAAGTCAGTTTGGTGGCTCACCACTGGTGGGAAAATTTGCATATTTGTCTAGCAAGGGGGATAGAACGAGTGCAAAATTCAGGTAGAAGGAGCTAGGGAGAAAAGGAATTGGACAAATGAGTAGTATGTTGGAAACTGGGAACCTCTCTCACCATAACTGGACCACTGGGAACCTCTCCCACCATAACTGGACCACTGGTAACCTCTCCCACCATAACTGGACCACACACCAGGGGTTATGTTTATGAAGAAAAGAAGAACATCAGGAGACAGTGTGAAAGGTTGAGCAGTGAAGAAGTGTCTTAAAAGTTTCTCAGCTCTTAAGGATGTTTCCCTACTGGCTCCTTTCACATTGGGATAGGGTCAAGGCCAGGGATCAGTTTGGGCTGCGTTTCGTTCCAAAAAGTTGTTCCCTTTTATCCCCTCTGCACTCGACCACTCCCCTTCATGGATCTGATTGGATAGATTAAAGTTAATGTTTTGCCTCTTTTCTCTCAACTTTAAATGTAACAAATTGCCTGTCAAACTAGATAATTTCTCATGAACTCATTAATCTTGATAAAAGTCCCTTCACTTCTGCCACCGCGGGCTTGTCCTCATAGCATGCACCAGCTTCCCACCTGCGCCGCGTGGCGAGTTTGAAATGAATACTGCCTATAGGTTACTTTGGAACTGCTAGCATGTGTTGTCTGATTCATCTAGCCTACATGAGAAATGATCAGCTGATATAGTATACCCACCCCAGGAGTAGTTCTAACAAAGAAGTAGTGTTTCTAACTCCCTTTTTTAATCTGTGGTTCTAGCTTGCTTCGCAATTTTGTTGTTGTTGTAGAAAATAAAGGCCTATGTTAATAAAATCTATATGGTGAATTGGGCTACAGGAGCAGTAGAAAGGTATGAATGAGCACCTGCCCCATCAAAGGTCTGGAGCTAGACCTGTTGATTCCACCACTAAGGCCCTATTCCCTCATATCACATCTATGGAAGGGAGTGAATGAGGGCACTAGTGAGGTTACAGCTGTTTGGAATGGAATGCAGCCTGTGTACAGCAACAAATAGAAAACGACAGTCATTACTGCGCCAAGCTTAGTCAACATTAGATTGTTCTGCTAGTAGTCCAAGCATATAGTAAGATTAGGCTGGATAGACTTTGAATGCATAATGGTTTCACTAGCTGACCAATCTCACAATTTGATGTGTTACGCTCTTACGAATACTTTTCCACCTTATCAGTTATTTTAATACATTACTTAGAATTTTCTTGGATCCATTAGTGTCCCTAAAAATTTTGAAATATTATAAACTGTGGTAATGCAACCGATTCATTCTATAGGCTACATTAACAGTGACTCCGGGCTTGATAACTCAAGTGAGAGTCTTTACCAGTTCAAAGCCAGGGAGAAAAGCCTTTCAAATCAAACCGTGATCCTTATTAGTTCGAGGAATAACCCCTTTGAAAAGCGTTGTAATTAATACAAGTTCCTCCAGCCGAGTACGAATAACTTTGTCCAGAGATGCAGCCTAATCTATTGCAAAGCAGTTTTAACCAATATCAATACCTGCCACATTTTATAGCCTGGGTTCTCTGAGAGTTCACCGACTAACAATCAATAGGTTTGAAGCTTTCTACAGTGGGGCTTTTGGCAGGCAGTGACACTATCAGGCAGGTGCACAGATGGGGGTATACCTCTGACCTGCCCCTCCCAATCGCCAAGTGCCATTTTGGGTGGTGGTATAATTGTATTTATTTTGTATACTGTTTTTTGTGTTGTTGTTCTGCACCCATGTCGTCATGACGTCAAGTTGGACAGACCCCTACCCTGTCCGTTGATGCTGCCCTAACGTGCCTGGTTGTGCCTTTTTCCCCAGTCTGCCCTGTATGGAGATTGCGTGCTCCCTGTATCCAAACATGCACTGCTTAAAATGTGGTCACCAGTCGTGTGAGTGGCAAACTATCTTATTTAAATATCAACAGTACTGCCACAGCAGCATACCATTTAATGAACACTAGAAAACGTTTGATTTACATCGTCTCCAATATTCGGTCTGGTTGGCTGATAGACTATGTGCAGCAGCAGTTCATTATAGAATCATAGCTGCAGAAAGGGTGCTGGAGGTGCTGCAGCACCCCTGATAAATTAGAAATAAATTGGCAAAGTTATAGACGTACTGCTGTCTGATAAGAAGGAAATGAATTTCAGAATAGCCTCCTACACCTACAATGTAGCCACGGAGGATCAACAGCTTAAAAAAAAAAGCCTAGCTGTCGATTGGATGTAGCCCAATAACAAGGCATAGCCTACAGTCGGAATAGCTGTCAGTGAACAGCATGCAGAGAAAACAGGCCTTTTGCAATATTTCCAATACAGTCGCGGAAAACAACATGTTGGAAAGCAAATGGCTCCTGCTGAAAAGAGAAGACTAACCTGTCTGCTGTAGGCTACCAACATTTTATCAACTTCCAAATAGGTCTATTGAGTGAACATTGTTTTACAAAGTAAATCCAAAAGGTAGGCTTTTGGCACGAGCTCGTCGGCCATAGCAGGACGGTGAGCTGCGCGTCATGGGGTTAGTCAGTGAAACTGGAAAGGTTTTTAGGACAGACACACAGTCTGGCAACCACTGGTCTAGACTCTAGCTAACCACCATATACTAAAATATCCACACTAGCCAGCCATATATAATGAGTTAGAAGATTATGACTATTAGTCTATATTATTAAAGTTATTATTTAAGTGCATTGAAGATAAATCACAACCAGTAAAAATATTATAGCGCTAGCTAACTATCAGATTTACATTCATCGTCAACATCAATGACCAGTAGATAGCCTACCCTCTTTTCCCAACGTCAATCATGTCTTTAGGAGGCACTGGGCGGCAGGTAGCCTAGTGGTTAAGAGCATTGGTCCGGTAACAGAAAGGTCATTGGTTTGAATCACGGAGCGGACTAGGTGAAAAATCTGTCTGTGCCCTTGAGCAACCCCCTTAACCCCAATTTCTCCTGTAAGTTGCTCTGGATAAGAGCGTCTGCTAAGTGACTAAAATGTAACTAACTAGTTTGCAATTTGTGATGAGTGAGTGTGTTGCATAAATAAATAGGCCTACAGTGGGGGAAAAAAGTATTTAGTCAGCCTCCAATTGTGCAAGTTCTCCCACTTAAAAAGATGAGAGAGGCCACACGGGGGGACCTAGTGAATGACCTGCAGATAGCTGGGACCAAAGTAACAAAGCCTACCATCAGTAACACACTACGCCGCCAGGGACTCAAATCCTGCAGTGCCAGACGTGTCCCCCTGCTTAAGCCAGTACATGTCCAGGCCCGTCTGAAGTTTGCTAGAGTGCATTTGGATGATCCAGAAGAGGATTGGGAGAATGTCATATGGTCAGATGAAACCAAAATAGAACTTTTTGGTAAAAACTCAACTCGTCGTGTTTGGAGGACAAAGAATGCTGAGTTACATCCAAAGAACACCATACCTACTGTGAAGCATGGGGGTGGAAACATCATGCTTTGGGGCTGTTTTTCTGCAAAGGGACCAGGACGACTGATCCGTGTAAAGGAAAGAATGAATGGGGCCATGTATCGTGAGATTTTGAGTGAAAACCTCCTTCCATCAGCAAGGGCATTGAAGATGAAACGTGGCTGGGTCTTTCAGCATGACAATGATCCCAAACACACCGCCCGGGCAACGAAGGAGTGGCTTCGTAAGAAGCATTTCAAGGTCCTGGAGTGGCCTAGCCAGTCTCCAGATCTCAACCCCATAGAAAATCTTTGGAGGGAGTT